AAACGTTCTTAACATACCAAAGCGTTCGCCAACATTTGGTGTCCGTGTCGTTTGGCCTTTCGTCCCTTTTGCGTATGCACCGGTTGGTGAAGTTGCGGGGTATCCGTTGCCTTTCATAACTCGCCAGAGGTATTGCGGTTCGGCATTGCCTTTCGGCTCGCCGATAGAGCATCCTTACACAACCGCGTTTGTGACTGATTGAGTGGTTGCTGTTGAAAGTCAGTACTTGCAGCGTTTTTGTCGCTTTCCTGAACACTTTGGTCTTTAGTCCACCACAATCTCTGTGGCATACGAGGACATCCAGAAAGGCCAGCTGGTTGTTCTCTTCTTCCTCCATCGTAAATTGTATGTCCGGAAAGACCGCTTTCAGACGTTCCTTGAATGTCAGAAGTTGATCCTGATCGAAAGCGACGAAGATATCATCCACATACCGAGCCCAGACCTTCGGTCTGTCGTGTTGGAAGACCAGCGACTCCAATCGCTGCAGGACCACCTCGGCGATGAATGCCCAAATCGGATAACCAGTGGTGCGCCTTTCACTTGTTCGTAGATTGTCCCCTAGAACGTTAAGTACGTCCTGAGACAGAAATTCAGTAGCTCATGGATGTGGCCGTGTCCAAGACCATTTTCCGTGTCATCGTATTTGCTTTGTAAAAGCAGCTCGATTGTCTTGATCGCCAGGTCCTGGGGAATAGAAGTAAAAAGGAACTTGACATCAGAAGATACTATAACACATTGATCAGCCTGCCACCCCCTACACTGTGTAGTGTAGGAGCTGAAATTCCTATACCCCTTTATTGCACTCCCCATCTGTCTCACAGGCATGCCTGTGCCCGCACTGTATCCCAAAGAATTTAAACTCATAGAGGTATGCCAACTGACTTGGGGGCTAAACGACTAGATTTTAATAACTTCGTTAAGCCAACGGTTGTCCAGGCCCTTTTATCGACTAAAGCCGGCGAGGACCCAACAGATTACAGCCGCAGGAGCAGCAGACTGACGCCTGGAGGGCAGTTTTCCACACTAAATGTATCTCTGTGGTAGTTTGTCGACAGTTATAATCGTCTGGATAGACATAGCCAGCGACCCTGTGCGACAACTGGTCATTGTCTGAATCCAGACACGAAGTCGGCTAATAAGCAAGAAACGGCCGTTCTGATCGCCCTTGCATAGGCTACTCGTCGTTATACGGCTGCCTACGAGGGTTGGAGATAGGTCCTCTAGGAGCAGCAGGTGCAAGTATTTTCCCTCAACCGTCGGTTGACGTACTTACAGTCATACATACATGTATATGTTTTTAACGCGAGCAGTAGAAGTGGGTTAAAGGTCACACTATGTTTAGTGTGAGACGTTCGGAACGAAGAAAGAGTGATTGCAGTCTGATACTTACCCTCTATGAGGACCGAGTTATTCCGTCAGTTGAAATACTTCTAAATCCTGACTTGATTTTCGTATCGGAGGACTGAAACCTCAGACTATACTCTCTTTTTCTCTTCTCCTTCTATGAACCAACAACCTGCCCGGGTTAATTTGACTTGAAATGACTACGAACTGACGTGAGAAGGCGGACTAAAGTGTGATGCAGACTCGCTCTGGGATCTCACGGAGGGGAGAGGTGATATAGACACAACATTAAGAAAGATCCGTTGCAGTTTGCCTCTTGTTTCAGACGAGGATTGGCTAAATCTCCAGATTGAAAGTTCTTCAAACCACGGCTTACAGTGCAGTGAGATGGAGTTGATTCCGTAAAATTTTCAACATCAAGGGATACGCTGATTTCTCAGGTAGAATATTGGTTCGGAATAGTTCAGTTACCCATTCCCCACTGTCCTGAAATCCACTTTATCGGCCATCGTGCAAATGGCAATCCTCACATACGTCAGTTCGACCGTCGTTGCCGACAATATCTACTGTATGCTCCACAGCAGAGTATGAGGATGGACGGTGACTTGATCGTGAGTTAGTTTAAAATGATGGCGAACTTGCGCTATATCCACCGCACTTCCTCGCTCCCCCTCCGCAACTTGGATTCGGTTTCAATAGAGAGTAAAGAAGACCGAAGGCGGAAAATGACTGGAACGGCGCAAACCCGCACAAAGTGTACTGCCACACCCCCTGATCCACAGTGTACATCGACCAGGATTTTACACAACAGGAGAAGAGAGAATGGCTCATATCCCACTAGGTATGAGAGTCATAGAAGACATATTAAGGAGGAGCTATTACAGCCTGAATCTCAGTGCACCAATCCGCCATTCCACACAGGCACACAGGACTGACTGCGCTGTCTGAGTTATCCCATCAGTTGGCATCAGTAAATAAAATTTATGACTATCTGCGGCCAGCCATGCATTTTATTTCCTGATTTCATCCCTGTATAACGCATCCCTGACTTTTCATGAGATTTTTCCTCGCAAACGACGCAAATCACTGCACTTTATGCTGATTGTATATAAATGCACTTAAAATTTCATATGTACATGGAAAAGACCGCCTTCCGCAGCCTTCGCGGTCCAGCACTGTTACCCTTTTTCCGTAAACTAATAGGTTACTTGCAGCCTGTTAGTACGATGTACATTTTCATTTATATTATAAGCACCGTTTTCAATAGGGTCATCAAGGGAATTGCCTACTACCCCAGAAAAAAAATACTATCCCTTCTAAGCCACGGCCTTTAGTGTAGCCTTGTAGCCCCAAGGGTTTCAGATTGTTTATAGCGAAAAACATGTGCTGAGCCTGTCAAACTCACCGTCTTCCCTCTCCCGGTCTCCAGCCACCGTCGGATCCGGCCAGCCCTATCATACACATGCGTATCCACACATAGGATCTTTCGTCCTACTGCATGACTATTGCATGAGCCGTGTTTTAGCGCTTTTTTGATAGTTTCCGTGCATGTGCGGACAGACCAGGAGGATGGCTTTCGAGTGCACTTCTTTTCGACTGTCGGCAAACATCGTACTCGGTAAAGATGACATCCTAAGTAGTATGGATTTTCTCCATCGACTTTCTACTCTCTTACAGATTCAACAATGCTCTCTAAAAAACCTACAGAAAAATATTACTTCTTGTACTCGTTTTGTAGAAAGTCATGTCTTCTTCAAATTTTGCATTCGTAGAAGGGGTAACTTCTGATTGTAAATAGGGTTTTCTATTCTCGGATAATTTTGTACTCGACCAGCCGTTGCACTTATGTTTAGAGTTTTCAGTTTACGTAAAAACATACGTTTTTTAGGCATTGAGATTATATCAAATGAGGCTTTTGAAATGTTACAATGAATGTGGACTATGTCGTGTACTTAACAGGAGGTTTTATTAGACAAACACATGCGATGTTATTCGAATGGACATTGCATGTACACAAGCTATTTTAAAACCGAGAAATGCCCTTTCTTCGAGGAACAAATTTGGAGAAGAATTGACTTGCTACAAAAAGGAGCACGAGAAATAATACAGTTATAGCGGTTTTCCATAAAATATATTTAAAATTCCAAGTGCGCAAAAAATTAGTAAAAAATGTACACTGCTTAAGTAGCCATTTCTAACGAGTGCAGTTTTTGGAGGCAAACGAGAAGACGTGCACTCAAAAACTATCATCCTGGCGTGTCCGAAATTTTACCGGATTTTGTCACTAGAAACTCAGTCTTACATCTCCATCTAAGCAATCCTTCCTAATCGAAAACGCATTTCAGAATTTCGGTTAACGTTTCGTGAAGTCAGTGCGGGCTTTATATCGTGCCTGCCACGGTGCCAACTCCCAGTGCCAGATGGTTGGCCGGCGTAGTACAGGTCTGTGAGGGTCGGGGCGTTTGCGCTACGCGTAGACAGACCGTATAACTTTGTCAGTCATTGTGTCGGAGCCCGCTATGGCAACAAACTAACCCACGCTCAAGTCATTGTCCTGGATCCACCGTGCAGTGAGGCCTATAGCAGATAACGTCGGATGTGACAGTCACTGAAATGTTTAGCCCACACTTTCCGCCAGGTGATATTCTTTTTGAATCAACAGCGTCAAGCTGGTAAAACCTACAAAAATGGGCATTGATACTTCTAATCACTGCCATTAGAAACGAAGAGACGAGTCTTGGGCAGCAGTCTTGAGTCACCCACAAACGCAGTTGTGTAAGGGCGATCTATCGGCGTGTCGAAGCGCACTGCCGTGAGCCGGAAGACAAGATTGCTGAACTACAATACCTCCGACGGGTCTTCAAAGCCAACAGCTGCCCGCACAACTTCGTCAACCGGTGCATGCGCAAAAGGGACGAAAGGCCTAACCGCATGGACATCAAATTTTGTCGAGTGCTTCTGTATGTCAAGAACGCTTCGGAAACTGTCGGCCGCCTTCTCGCACCACTTGGAGTTGGAGTTGCACACAGACCGGAGACAACCATCAGGTGTCAGGTAATGAAACCGAAAGACCCGCTGTCAAGGCAAGAAACGTCAGGAGTCGTTTATCGGATCTAGTGCAGTTTTGGACAAAGCAATTACGTCGGTGAAATCAGACGACAACTCCGGTCGCGAGTGGAACAGCACGCTGCAGCAGTGCAGAGTAATGACACCAGCTCTCAAACTGCGTCTCATTTGACAAGATCCGACTGCACATTCAGATTCGACGAAGCCGAAATTCTTGCAAGAGGTGACAACCTCGCGAGCCAGGAGCTGCTTGAGTCATGGTTTACTGGCCCCCAGTCCATTAACAAGTGCAACGATCTTCCGCTTCCATACTCGGTGCTGAGACTTCACCTAGGCGGAGCAATTAGCCACGTGGGAAGCGCACAGGTGAATACTTTTCCCAACTCCAGGGTCGGTGGATCAGATGGTCGAGCAATCGCCTCACCGACATCCAACACACGTGAGGAAATTGTAGCAATTGATGACGCGAATTTCGACCATAAAGCAGTCATCACACCAAGTTCAACGATCCCTGATGAAGCGTGGGGAGGAGCCTCAAGACATTCTTTACCTTCGAAGGGACCACATACGAGCAGATCAAGGGCACACCAATGGGTTCTCCAATCTCCGGACTCATTGCCGAGGCGGTTCTACAAAAACTCGAGAGACGACTATTCGAGGAGTACAAACCCAAGTTTTGGGCACGCTACGTTGATGACACCTTCGTGATCATAGACCAGGATAAAATCAACTACTATGCGGAAGTACTGAACTCAATCATGCCCGATCTACAGTTCACGATGGAGGAGGAAGTCGAGGACAAACTTCCATTCTTGGATGTTCTCGTCTGCCGCCAACCAAATGGCGAACTAGCGACGTCGGTCTACAGAAAACCGACGAACACGCTGCAAATTCTCAGCTACAACAGCAACCACCCGCCACAACACAAACGAAGCTGTTTCCGCACGCTGTACCGACGGGTAGAAACTCATTGCAGCACGCCAGCCGCCAAACTGAATGAGATAAAGCTCCTCCGAGAACTTTTCAGAGCCAATGGCTATCCACGGGCATTCATTGAACGAAGCCGAAGGCAGCCAAAGAAACGGAACGAGGAGCACAGTCAGCCAAACTCGTGGCGGAGCATTCCGTATATTAAAGGGGTCTCCGAAGTCGTGGCTCGATCACTCGCGCCACTCGGAATAGGTGTTGCCCACAGGCCTGACTCAACAATCCGCCGGCAAGTGATGCGGCCGAAAGATCCGATCCCTAATCAGGAGATGTCGGCCGTTGTCTACCGACTCCAATGCAGCTGCGGAAGTTGCGACTACGTTGGGGAAACCGGCCGACGGCTGCAAACGCGAATGCACGAGCATAAGTTGGCCGTGCGAAGGTTGGACCCAAAGTCGGAGGTAGCGACCCATGCCGCGCAAATGGGACACATCTTCAACTTTGACGCCGTTGAGATTGTGGGCCGGGGCGGCGATCACACAGCAAGGCAAGTGCAAGAAGCCTGGATGTCCACCGACCGCTCTGTCAACCGCCACATCAATTTGCCTCCCCCTTATCTGACTTTACGAACCTTCTTAGCGGGGGACAGTCACGGCGCGGGACAATCGGGGCCGTCAGTCATCACCGCGGCCGACGGGGGCGATTCAGGTCACGGTGACATGCGGATGGGATGCAGCCACACAGGCGGCATTGGCGGATCACGCATTGGACAAAGGGCGCCATAATAAGGAGTGCTGTGCACAGGACCTCTCAGTCCCTGAAGATGGGTAGACGAGTAAACTACGCGAAACGTCGGATCTCAAATAAACCCCTCCCGGTGAACGCCCACTCTTCTTTTGATATGCCACCTGGGAATCGGATTTTCACTACTATTGACCCGTATCTGCTTTTGTCTCTGCTGATGGGTTCGAGCAGGAACCGGAATCGTCAGGCGAATAAAGCTCTTGTCGCAGCGATCATGTCTCCTTCTTCATCGTCGGATGTTGCAGTCGAGATGCCGTGAAGAGTCAGGTATTTAAAGGGCGACCTAGGCCCAATTGTTCTTCTGCTGCGTCACCTGTGTAGGTGAGTACGGCTGGATGGGGTCTGAATGAATAGGAGTGGTTGATGTGGGGGGAGGTGTGCGTGGAGCCATCGAAAAAATAACTCGAAATCAGGCGTAGAGAGGCGACAAACAAAAGCGATAATAACGCGTGCGGTGTCGGGAAACGCGCACTCACCGTCAGCACACGTTTGAGTCCTACGGGAGACATGATGAAGGCATCAGTACGATATTCCTCTTCCCTCGCAGACCCACCTTATCACTCTGTTACCACTCCAACGCGCCACCACAATCTGAATACTTTTAGTCATGACACAGCATTCACATCGGTGGTTGAAAGCTTCACTGCTTTCGAAATGTCGACACAAGACAATCCTACGTGCGATGATCACCTACGCGTCTGTGTCCGCGGGTGAGCAGCTGCGCTTCTGTTAGCGGTATGTATGTATATGTTGGGGTATGTCGTCATATGAGCGTAAGTATATGGAGCATCGTTTCTGGCCTATTCTACTTTCTTTTAGCCAACCACACAACCATAACCATTATTTGAGTCCAAAAACACACCTTGTTAATCAGTGTCTAGACAAATGACATATTTGGCTACCGTAAGCAGCGCAGCATTTTGCAGACAACCTCATCCTTACCAAAACAGTCATAATATAATAATATGATATAATTATCAGTAAGCTGCATCTGGTGTCTTCTTGAGTATCTGTTAGTGAGCTTAGACGTGTTCTTGCTATAAGTAATTATTCGTCAGCTTGTAGACTGGCGTCCGATTCGAATTGCACTCTGTTATTTCTTTTCGGCTAATACTGACTTAGCCATCAACTAATAATAAATTAGAGGTTTCATTTTCACGAAAATACTTTCAGTAGATACTCAAGTTCTATGGGATGGTCCTCTTTGTCAGAACAGTGAAGTTCTACTTCACTACGATGACTGCTGACTGAATGCCAGCTCCTCAATGCAAACTTATTCGTACAGCATTCCCTCTGTTCACATATTAAGAGGACATTCAGGAATGAGAGTTTTTACTCAACTCTTTCAGGCGTAAGGTAACTTCTAGGAAATATCGCGGAACTGCTTCCTGGAGAGTCTTTAATTTGCCCTTCCTAACAACAGCGAAGGCGTTATCAATACAACGAAGCTAACCTTTAGGCTTGTTCAAGAGAAGAGGTGTAGCTTATGATTCCTGCATTATGCTATCGGCAAGAAAACCAGGGTGAGTTTCTCCATGGAGACGATCCGCAGTGTTGGTTATATTCTCGCGCGCTGTGTATCAGGACTGGCGGTGTTCCTTTAAGTGTCATTTTATCAAATCTGACGTAAAGGTAGTGGACAGAAAAATGGCATTAGGCGATACCGTTACCTCATTCGCTGAGATTTTGTTACTTTACAGTGTACTGTACGAGATCATGCTCCAAAGCCAACGGGACATGCATGACTCGTAATTTGATCGATGAGTGTCCCTGGTGATTTACGTTGACATTTTTGCTGCTTATTTTTCATTGGCTAGGTGGGATTGCCTTACGAAAATTGCAATTGACGTGTGCGGAAGCGGGAACCAGGCTGACTCGAAGACTCACCATTAGGGCGTCATGGCCAAAAGCGCGAGCTGATATCTTTGCGTTTATTTACATTTATTTGAAAAATCGCTTTCTTTTTAATCGATTCTGGAATCGTACCTCGCAATACTAAGTGCAGGGAGGAAAATATTTCGCACATGGTCTACTGAATGGACGATCTTGGGATCATTTAAAATAAAATTTGAGGGAGGAATGTGTGGTGTTTGCGAGTTTCTGCATGACTGGACATGGATCAACAGCTGCCGTTTTTAGGCTGGACGCCAGTCAGCGAGCTGTGATCGCAGACAGTGGCCAGGTTCAAGGGCGTGCTCAAGCACGAGAGAAGGAGACCACATCGGCAGATGGCCATTTTGTGTTCGTTAGTGCGAGTCTCAGGCCTTCGAACCGTGTGGCCAGTAGAAACATAAGGACAATAGGCGCGTGGGCCCCTCGAGGACGTCTGGATGTCTGCTTGTCTGAACTCCCAATCATTTAACCTGATGACAGGCTGACGTAACTGGCCTGAAAAATCATGAGAACAGTTCCATATATGGAGCTAGGCGTCTGCTTTAATTATATCATCTTGGACTGTCTATTACCCCAGTGCTCTAACATACTGTAGGAGAAAGTGCTCTTAAGATCACGTCGAAAGTGGTCACTCGGCCTGACCCCTAGCGACCGCGGATTATTCCTTAAATTGGCAGACTTCTAGGGCAGGACTGTTAGAGCAGCGCGGTGGCTTTAGGTCCATTAGATTTATTGTGGTGAGAAATGCGCTGATTTGCCGTGAGGACGGATTCTCCAGTGTCAGTTTCACTCTCCTCCCTCTCCCACTCAGTAGCCGACTGTCCGACGGGTGTTGGGGTTGAGTGCAGTAGCCTGCGCAGCGTGAGGGCCGCGACAATTCGACCGTCCCTGCAGACGATGTCCACCGCGTGCTGCACAGCGGGGTTGGAGCAGGAACGGTGACTTTTGTGTGAATTAGTTTATAGCGATAGCAGACTTACACAGCATCTACCGCACTCTTTCCTCCTCCTCCTCCTCCTCCTCCTCCTCCTCATCCTCATCCCCCCCCCTCCCCCATCAGGGTCTGGTGTCAGGACGAGGTCAAGAAGACCAGAGGCGGGAGAGGGCGTAGGTGGTTGACACGAAGTAGATCCATACTTAGATGCAACATCTGTCATGCTCTCTATTTCTCCGCCATTTGGACCCGGTGTCAAGACGGAGTCAAGAAGACTGGAGACGGGAGAGGGCGCAGGTGGTTGACACGAAGTAGATGCACCATCACACCTCTAGTTCGCAACGGCCACTGACCAGGACTTGACGCATCAGAAGCGAAGAGAAGAGTCCTTAGAAGCAGCCGTAAAGAAGGAGACACGATCGCTGCGACAACAGTTTTATAAGCATGACGTTTCGGATTCCTGCTCGAACCCATCATCAGAGGCAAAAGCAGATACAGGTGGTTCACGCACAAGAAGCTGCAGTATGTATTGGATACAGTCGCCATGATACCGCATACCTATGAATATTCACGGCTCCTCCTTTCATCAGGAATCCTTGCACTGGGCGTGCGACTGTCTGATGGCCGACATTCGCGTCGTTAATTGCTGCAATTTAATTACCTGTGTTGGATGTTGGTGTGATGATTGCTCGACCGTCTGACGCACCGACCCTCGTGTTGGGACAAGTGTTCAACTGTGCGCTTTCGGCGTGGCTAATTGATCCGCCTAGGCGAAGTCTCAGCATCGGATATGGAAGGGGAAGTTCCCTGCACTTGTTAGTGGCTTGGGGGCTAGCGAACCAAGACTCAAGCAGCTCCCGGCTCACGCGGTTGTCACCTCTTGCGAGAATTTCGGCCTCGTCGAATTTGAATGTGTGGCCGGATCTCGTCGAATGAGCTGCAACTTGGGAGCTGACGTCATTTCTCCGCATCGCTGCAGCATGTTCGGCCATTCTCATTCGGAGCTGTCTTCCGGTTTCTCCGACGTAATTGCCTTGTCCGCAACTGCACCAGATGCGAGAAACGACTCCAGACGTTTCTTGCCGTGGCAGCGGGCCTTTCGGTTTCATTACCTGACGTCTGATGGTTGCCTCCGGTCTGTGTGCAACTCCAACCGCAAATGGTACGAGAAGGCGGCCGACAGATTCCGAAACGTTCTTGACATATGGAAGCTTCCTGGGACTCGTCTCTTCGCTTCTATTTGTAGTGACTGACAATGTTGAACACTCTGAATACACGTGTCGCGCACGATCTGATCCCCACCCAGTGCTCCTGAAAAGGGGTTTCGGAACTTACAGCTGAGCGAATACCATAAAGACCACAATAACGGAGAGCAACTGCAGTCCGGCTGTCAGTCCCAGAAAGAACCGTGTTATCCCGTCGGTCGGAAGCCTTCCAAGCTAGGACTCTTAGCGAGTTGTTGTGGACTCAAACGCGTCCAATTTCAGTGTCGATGGAATGCTCTCTTTCTGTATATTCTTGCTACCATGCATCGATCGAGTATTCGAGCCTGTCTAACAACTGGTGACAAGTTGCTGACTCGGCATGAAGGCATACGTCCAGTACCTGCGCCATCACACGCGTGTACGGTAACAATCATAGGCTTGCACGGATTCTGCGCTGCTCGATAAACGCAGCCTGGTTCTTGTTCGGCTGTTGTCGAGGCCCTCCAAAAACAACCAGCATGCGCGCGTACATGCAGCGTAGGCTGTCCCCAGATGGCATCTATCAGACAGATCACAGGGTTGAAAAGTCTGTTGACAAACCGATGTTTTCAGTAACTCATCATCAGGCCAATGCATTTACATGGGTAAGGATCTTTGTGGAGAGAATATCAATGCGTCTCAAGGGGCAGAGTTAGACAGAATCCAATTTCCCAAGCCGCCCGCATGATGGAGTCACGTGTTGAGGACGGTGGAGTTAGGATGGGAGGGGGTGGGGGAGAGGAGGGGTTCGGGTTAGATTGTGAGTGCTGTCCGTATTTTAAACAAACGGACTGCATGTTACTGTTTTCAGGGAGTCGAGATGGTGTGCGATCACCACCTGGAGTCGGCCAGGAAAGGCAGGCTGCTTGTGTCAACGTCTTCTGACAACAGAGTGCCGGGTTCGCTAAAC